CCTATCAAATCTTTCAAAGCTTCAAGGGATGCTTACTAGCATCAATATAATACAAGGGATGACATTCCGGACAAACCCACACGGTAAACCGTCGGTGGCAAGACAAGGGAGATATCTCAAACAAGGGTGCTAGTTGCATTATAGTCTCTTAGCACTAAGGACTTTCCAAGACAAACGCGCTAGTTGCATTATAGTTAAGCTAGAACATGCAAGCATGGAGGTCTAAAGGCAAGATGCATTTTTAGGCAAAATGGAGGAATACAAGGCAAGTATATTATGCAGGTCAATAAACCAACATAGAACAGAGGTAAAACATGCTAAATAAACTCCAAATAACCTCTGAAACAAGACCAAACAAAACTAAGCATGCATGCTACCCTTATGAGCCAAAAACATGAACAAATGAGACACAAAGGGAGAGGGGTGTCCCTCCCCTATGCAAGACTTCAAAACCTCTTCTTCACCACTGAAAATCCCCTGGCTTTCAGTGGTGAGAAAGCCAATACATGAAAGTTACAAAGCCTCAACAAAGAAGGCACAAAAAGGGGCCAAACAAGGTCAAAGAGGGGGAGGTCGACCCCCAACACCAAAGTGACCTTAATGAAACATCTTAAGCATGAAAAATTAGAGTTTTTATCAGTTATACACAAAGCTCAAAACAGCATGCAAAGTGGATTAAAAGCTAGGGCAAGAATGGGGAATATAAAGTAGTTATACTCACCCTTGAAGAACACTTGAAGAACAGCAACCTCAGGCCCCTTCTTCTGATCAAAATCAACTGAAAACTCCAAGAACAAACTCTCAATACCCCAACAACCCAAGTATGGTGTAATACTGGGTGCCTTAGTGCAAAACTAAGAACAAAACACCCTTTTAGGCCCTCTCACACACACAAATGAAGAGAGAGAGGGAGATATAGAGAGAGAGTGGTGTATATATGCTATATAACTCTGATTTACTAAATCTCTTCAAAGGAGAAGGAAGGCTTCCTTTTACAGAGGAAGACAAAGGGCTAAGCTTCTAAGGGAAGCTAATACAAAAGGGTCAAGGGGGTCAAGCTTCTAAGAGAAGCTAAGGCGAAGGGTCTAAGCATCCTGAAGAAGCTAAGGCAAAGGGTCAAGCTTCCTCAAGAAGCTTGAGCAAAGGGTGCAAGCTTCTCCAAGAAGCTTGAGCAAAAGGGTGCAAAAGGGGCAAATCCTCTATACACGTGTATGGAGGACAAGTCCGTGCACTCCAGCTGGCATAGCTGGCATGCACCATGCCTGAAAAAGGCAAAAATGAGGTATCGGCCAGAAAAGGAGTCAATCGGCCAAATGAATGGTCGGCTGACCGCACAAAAAGGCCGATACACCTAGCAGAAGTGCCAACCGACCAAATATTTGGTCGGTAGAAAAAAAACAAGGCCGGTGGCATCATGCCACGGCCGGTGGGTTTCAGGGATGGCTAACAAGCCTCTTCCCACCCTCAGAAGCACAAAACACAAGTCCTTGGTGCAAAACCAAGCATAGAACAGGCAAGTTAAGAGATCCTGAGGCAAGGCGCGCGGCCGAGGCCTCCGGGAACTCAAAATGAACACGAACATGGATGATCACCCAGCGTTCAAACGGTGATGTCCAAGTCTTGAGGACGGTCAAAAATGGGGTGTCTACAGAACCCTATGCTTAAAGACCCGAGGTAACACATGCATCGGGAAAGTTACTGAGGCACTTTGCCTCAGCTCCACCGTTTCTAATAACTTTGGTTCCGCCACCATCCAAAGTTGCTGAGGAAAAGAAAAAGCCGACGCAACTAAGTTGCAAAGGCAACACTTGCGATGGCCAAGTTGCGGAGGCACTTTGCCCCAACGTCGTCATTCTAAGTAATGTCGGTACCACAATCATCTGGAGTTACTGAGGGAAGGAGAAATTGAAGCAACTAAGTTGCAGAGACAGTACTTGCAGCTCCCAAGTTGCGAAGGCATTTTGTTGGTGCCACTGTTTCTAATATTGTCAGTCTTGTCATTTGAACTTGCCACGGGAAATGACTGCCACAGCAACTATAGCCGCGACAACCAACTTGCGGAGGAAACATCCCGCCAAGGTGATAGCAGCCTTTAGGAAAAGCTTCCCTTCTGCAAGTAGAGGCTAATGCTTGGTGCTGATAGTAAGCCCCAAGACATTACTAGCATAGGGCTGATAGCAGGTCCCAAAGTTCATTTAATTTGGCACTGATAGCAGGCCCCAACACTTACTGGTTGGAGCGGATAGCAGGCTCATATATACCAGTTTACCGCGGCGATCCCACAAAGATGGGAGCAGGGTAGCCCAAGCATAAAGGACTCCATTTCCATTCTCAAGTCACGGACCTACCTTAGTCACACAAGAAGGACTAAGGAAACCCCCTTAGGCTTGTTACTAAGGCACAGCATGGCTGATAGCAAGCTTGGCTGTGGCCTTCGCCCTGGGAAGCTAGGGAGTTTGTGATTAGGTGGCTAACGGTGGACGCTTCGTTGAGGTGAGAACGAACATAGTCGATAGAAGACTAATAAAGTCCTGAGAATGCCTTTACTGACCAAATAGAACTAAGAAGGCAAGTGTAGCGGCAAGGTTCACCACTACAAGTGCACTTACTAAGGTTCAAGTTGAGAAGGCAAGTGCAGAGGCAAACACTCCCGCTGCAACTGCACTTGTTAAGGCTCAAAAAGGTAGTTGCAGAGGCAAACAGATAATACACAGTACATGCAGAGAGACACGTCGCACCTTCAACCTGGTGGCTCAAAGTAGAATATTCTATGTGATCCTCTAGGACACATGTCCTCTCTCTATTTGGCCACTTGGTGTCCTCTTGGTACCAAGGAAAACCTATGAATAGGACCCATTTCCCAAGGTTCAAAAGAGGAATTTTGGGGATTTGGGGGAGATGCTGCCCATTTTGGTACTACCATATATTTCTTCTTGAGCCACTTGCTTCACCCTCACCCAACTACACACTCTCCAACTCCCAGATAGTTGTTGTTACTCATTCTCCAACCATTTCCACCATTATTGGACCATTAACATAGTTTTGCCTCTCTAATCACCTCTCTAACCTTAATCCCCTTCAAATATTATTAACATCAATGTCATGTCCAATACGGATATTTAAATTAGTCATTTTGTATGAAACTTAATTTTTGTTAGGATAATTACTTGACAATGGTATTAGAGGAAAAAAAATTATAAATTAATAAAAATATTTATAATATTAATTACTAATATTTATAATATTTTTTGTTGGAAAATATATTTTATTGACACCATGTCAATATAATTCTCCCATTTTTGTCTACTAGGACAATCAGTCATACAACATATAATTCTTCCACCATCAATAGGCTTTAGAATAAAGATAAAAAAATCAATAAACTGACTTTTAACCTAGTTACCAAAAGAGACCTATATTTGATTTCTGTATTTATATAGCACAACTTTTATAAATAATCTAAACACTCCTACCCATTAACATGTTACAGAACAAGTTGACTTCTCTATCCCATTTACAAGCTTCACAACTCATGTTGTCATCCTCTTCTTCGCGGCCTCTCCATGTCTCTCTCACTCTGATGCTTCGAGTTTTTCCATGACAACAGAAATTTGTTTGTTGGCTAACCATATGATTGTTGATCCACATTGTGTGAATAATGGCTTTGATTCTTTCTCTGCACTCTTGGATTCTCAAGCTCTTTGAATTTGAACAAGTATTGTTCATGGCATTTAGAAGCTTTAGGCCTTGTTTTGTTGATTGCCCACCCCTAGAGAGGAGGATCATACCGTACACGTATGAGGCCTCCACGTGTCCTTTCTCTGCTGCTCTCTTCAAATGCTCTAGTCCTGATTCCATTCTCATGTGGCTGAAGTATTCAACCTATAATATTACAATTGCAGAAATTAAACACAAACGAGATGTTAAAAAAAATATCGGATGATTTTATTTCAAATGTGAGGCTAACTATACATAATTGAATTTAATATTATGAATAAATTTATGAACAATCTAATTTTCTAATTTTTTGTTACATACATGAATGCTTGTTTTCTTTTCGCAACTTAAAATATGTAAAAAATTGGTGATTTTTAAGTTGAACGGTCAATTCAAAATAGACTGGCATATAACTACTTTCTGTTATATAGAGATAGAGTCTAATATATTATTTGATTCATTTTTCAATATAAAAAATTATTCTAGATACTCATAATTTAATCATAAAAAGGTGTCAATATCATACATGATAGCTTGACAGGATCCATAAGGCCCTTAGAAATATTTTTATTTCTTAGTATCTCACATTTTTTTCAGTAGAAGTGGACCATTATATATGTTGACCTGTACATTTTTATTTTTTATTTTTTCTAGTTGAACTTTATATTTGCTATGTTAACTTGTATATGTTTAATATTTTTTTATAATTTAATTATGTAATGTGTAGGTTGAGTGGAAGACAAATGGAAACTCAATGATAACACTTTGCAACTTAGGTCCTATGGCCCTGTTTGCTCTTTAGGATATAAACAAATGGTTGGATTGGATATCATGTATTATGGGATTCAAATATTTTTTTATTTGTAATTTTTTTTTAGAGAGTATATAATATATCATGGAATTGTATATTCCCAAATTGGTAGATATAAAATATCACCTCCCCTTGTTATATCATATCCTATAGGATGGGATAAGAATTAAAAAGTCAAATTTACCCTTCTTATCTACTTACCCTTCTAAACGCTTTCCATTGTTTATGTCAAGTCATTGATTTGTTTTCTTTATATTTTTTTTATAAATGCTTTTTGTTATATCTGAATAATCCTTCATTTTCAATGTTTTTTGTTTTATATGTTGCTGATCTGGAAATCAATGAAGCCTCTATAAACAAACAAAAATGATTTATTTATTATTTTTTTTATAAATAATGATAGATCTGATACGATTGTATATATATGACAAAAAAAATTATTTGTCAGAGTTTTTGTTTACTTTTTCATTTTTATGGTTGGTTGATGTTCTGGATGAATGGTTTGAGACATTTGTTTGTTTAGGTGAAGAGTTTAATTTTTTTTTTTATTTACATAAACCAAATATATATATATACAAAATAAGACTCTTCACCTAAACAAATATGATTGTTTACAAAAAGCTGTTGTTTTTAGAATCAAAATACTTATTTAAAATGGGTTATTTTATTTTATTTTTATTATCAGATTAGCGTTAATATAATATAATTTTTTTCAGGGGAAGAAATTGTTGGATTTAATATGAATATTTGATCTTTATATATTAGCATTAGTTATGAAGTGTATTCTTTCCAAATTTGTGGCAGTGGCCATTGATCGGCATAAGGGCAAGATGGATATTAACATAATGTTATGAGGGCAATCTTAGAAATTCCTTACTTATATTCCACAATTCATTTTGTAAAACAAACATAGATGAGATATATCCAGTATTATATATCAAATCAACAAACATGAATGGTAGGATATGTTATCCAATATCTATATCTTATTCATTATATATCCTGATTAAATCTCACAAAATATTATATTCATTATTTTATATTCAGTAAAACAAAGGAGTATATGTACGTGTACCTAAGAAAGAGAAGTATATGTCGTTTTGTCCCCATGTAGCTTTCCATTGAAGTATGAGATACCCAAAACATTTGTAAGAGATACATATTTAAGCAACCAAATTATGTAATGACTTGTGGCATGAAATATCTTAGAACCAAAAAAAAAAAAACCTCATTGCTTGAGTGAAAGATTCACGCAAAGATTAGTCAACAATGACAACTAAATATATATTGAAATTTTGTCACATTTTTTTTTTATATTATATTATTTACTCTTTCAATAAATAATTGTTCATAGTTTTTAATCAAAAGTTATCATAGGTATATGCTCTGATACTAATTGTACGGAAATTGAGGGGCTCACCACGACATAACAACACCAGTCTAGTTCTTTGAAGAAAAATTTTAAAATCCACAAGCATAACATTATGAGCCAACAAATCTTGTTTGAAATTTATATTAATTTAAATTTTTTTATTTAATGTAGGACTCTTTCTTCACATATATTCTAATGATCAAATCATTAAAAAAATTTCCCACTAAAACTACATTTAGTTTATCAATTTGGTGAGAGAAAGAGAACATATAAGTAAAATATGAATAAAATATAAATACATTTCGTATAATTTTTTTTTTTCTTTTCAAATTGATTCTCAAATTTATAAAACCAAGATAGCCTAACATATCATATAATATTGGAGGTGATCATGGAATGGAATCACATGGCAATCACGTGTAAGTTAGACTAGAACAGCTTGGGGGGTCATGAATGAAACAGAGGAGCAAGAGCATTAATTCTAAGGTAAGCAACCTAATAATATTATTATTTTAAAATTATGATATCACTTATTATACATATTATAAATATCTAAAACGTCTTACATCATATCATTTATTAACATACTAATTGATATATCAATCGGTGAATATAGTATTATTCAATAATATAACATGAAAACATGTGAGGAGAAGAGTAGGTTAGGAAAGAGTACCATTCCTTGTCTGTACAATGCTTCTGGGTTTCCACTTTGTATGCACCGATTTAAGAACAAACTCACTTCTTCACGTTTCAACCATTGACGAATCACTGGGAATTTCTCTATTGACATGTGTTGTAGTATGTAATTCTCCTCTGCGACTCTTAGAAATTCTCTGCAACTGTTATTACATTACTTAGTTAAATACGAGTTAGAACGAAGATAATGAAATAGATATCACATATAACTATATGATTATAAGTTAGTTTTTTTTTTTATTCAAATATTATTTTAAGTTAGTGAAAAACAAAGAATGTACCTAATCTCATTGTGCATTTTCTAGGTGACCTTTTAGTTTTTTATAAATTAAAAAAAAAAACGTGTAAAAACATAGATAAAATAATTTGTTAACTTCTAGTAATTTTTGATATATTAATAAATGATATGATATTAATTAGTATATTAATAAATGACTCCTAAAATTATGATATAGTGATTTGTTAACGTCTAAAATTATATCATATCATTTATTAATATACTAATTGATATATTAATAGATTAAATATACTAATTGCTAATGTATTTGACGAAGTAATGTAATGACAGTTGCAGAGAATTTCTAGGAGTCATTTATTAATATACTAATTGATATATTAATATACTAATTAATATATTAATAAATGATATGAAATCAATTACTATATTAAAAAATAGATAAAATAATTTGTTAACTTCTAGTAATTTTTGATATATTAATAAATGATATGATATCAATTAGTATATTAATAAATGATAAAATAATTTGTTAACTTCTAGTAATTTTAGTATATTAATAAATGATATGATATCAATTAGTATATTAATAAATGACTCCTAGAAATTCTCTGCAACTGTCATTACATTACTTCGTTAAATATAGGTTAGAACCAAGATAATGAAATAGATATCACATATAACTAAATGATTATAAGTTAGTGAAAAATAAAGAATGTACCTAATCTCACTCGGCATTTTTAGGTGACCTTTCAATTTTTATTAAAAAAATAAATAAATAAATAAACGTGTAAAAAAAAATAATTTGTTAACTTCTAGTAATTTTTTGATAAAAATATTTTGTTTGATATCAATTAGTATATTAATAAATGACTCCTAGAAATTCTCTGCAACTGTCATTACATTACTTCGTTAAATACAGGTTAGAACCAAGATAATGAAATAGATATCACATATAACTAAATGATTATAAGTTAGTGAAAAACAAAGAATGTACCTAATCTCAGTTGTTTGTCGTGAGCAATTTTTGCATGGAAGGAAAATATTGTCATGAGCTCTTCTCATTGACTTAAGACAATAAAATTTTTATTATATTTATGTTGATATTTTTAAGATAAAATTAAGTATTTATAATTGGTGAAAAATATCACATGCCAACATGCAATAATTTTTTCATTTTTTCGATCAATATTTATTCATTATATGCGAAACTAATTAATATTGTACTAGAGTTTAACAATTTAGACAAAGGAAAATATTTATAAAAATTAAAAAAAAAATAGTATGTCTTGAAGATTCACAACTTTTATATAGTAAGGTTTACATTTAAATCACATATTTTTCTTATATTTTTCTCCATATTCTTAAATCTGTAACTTAAAAGAATTTATAAAATGAAACTTTTAACAAATAGTCTACCCTTTGAAGTCATACAAAAACGGCAGAAACAATACAGTTGAATATAAAATTGATGACATTTTAAACTTACAAAATATCATCATTTACCAATATATTGATTGATACTAACCATAATTTGGAATTGAAGAGGTCGGTGAAGGAAGAGGAGGCAACCATAGCTAGAACTTCAACCAACAACTCCACCGGCAGAGATTCAATCCCACCTCCTCCGACGCCGACGACGATCTTTTCTTGTTTTTCTTCTTCAATTGATGATGATGATGATGGAATTACAAACATGGTTTCTTTCTTTCTTTCCAAACAATTAAAATTCAAACTCGTATAAAGTAATCAAATTTAGAAGGTGGGGATTGAAGGATTGATGGTTGGTTGATAAAAAACAGAGGTGAATGTAAAACCTCGAATCTCAACCGCTCAAAAGTAGCAGAGACAACGCTTTACCACCTCTCTATATATATATATGTAAAATAGAGGTTGAGTGAGAAAAGCTTTCAAAAGCGAGTAGGAAAGGGAAACCGAGAATTTTACAACTTGCTAATCAACCAATTAATTAATAGGAGATTATTACGGTTCTGTTTTAATAATTTAAATTTTTTTATTTTACCAGATACTTTATATATTTTATTTATAATAAAAAAAAAATTAAATCAATTTGATAGTTGTAACTTATTTAATTTATTATTTTTTTAAAAGTATAATTTTTTTTTGATTAAGAGCACAATAAATTGAATAAGTTATAATTATCGGATCGATTTAATTTTCTATGTATTCAACAAAATGAACAATTCAAATCATCGAAACGGTTCTCATGATGGGCCTTACGGGTCCAACCAGTGCTGTCTATTCTAAAATTTGGACTGCAAGAGATCCTCTTCCTAATTAATACTACTTGCTATTTTCATACTCTTGTAAAAAAAAATAAAAATATTTATAAAAAAAAGAGTAAATTATAAATACTTGAGATTTATTTAAAATATATTTTGGTTCATATGATTTAAAAAATTACAAATATCTCATTGTTAGAATTTTTTATTTAACAGAATTAACTCAAAAAATAAAATTCTTAACTCTATCCTATACAATAATAAAATTAAATTACTAATTGAAATAAATTTTTGAGATCATTAAAAATTATTAATTGAATTGATAATTTATTAATCAAAGAGTTATTTATTATAAAATTAGAAACTCTAAGAAGAGTATGTAATTTCTAGTACTATAAGAGGCAATTAGTATTTAAATAAATCTCAAATTTTATATTTATAATTAGTATTAGGGATTTGGGTGGGCCACTTTTTGGCATTTTTTATGAATCTTAAATAATTTATCAAATTTTTTAATAAACCTCTTATATGACTGTGTGACTCACACAAATTCATATATATATATATATATAAGATTTGATCTGAACTGCTGTGGTGCCTTTCTTGCTGCTATGGGCTTCTGATAAAGATGTAATTCTCTGTGGTGAACTAAGGACTGCTGTCTTTTGGGCTATTGATATGGCAGTGAGATCAATTGGTGCTTTAAGTAAACTCCTGGGGTGAAGTAGTGAAGCTTTGCTGTTGTATCTCTGCACAGAGTTGATTGTATTCTGCTGAAGCTTTGATCTGTTTTGGCGAAGATGGTCTTCTGATAAAGATGCAACTCTACTATATAAGGACTGCTGTCTTTTGGACTCGGTTGTTGAGGTCTGCATCTGATTGGAGTTCCTGGTTTGAGTAGCAGATACAACAATGTTGGGTCAATTGAAGTATTATTGCATTGGTGGGCTGGGGGTGGGTGGAAAACAACTCTACCTTGTTGATGTATGTCTCTTGCCTCACTGTGTTGTTTTGGTTGGTTGTTCTGTCTTTGCGGTTGGATTCTCTCCAACTTTGTTGGTGTGCTAGCAGATGATAGGGCGGTCTTATCGGTGCCAACCTAGTTGGGACTGGTTTGTTTCGCTTTGATGCTCTTTGCACTCATCGCTATTGTCATTGATGTAATTTTCTTTTGGTTCATCTATAAATTTTATCTTTTGCTGATCAAAAAAAAAAGATTCACAACTTTTATATAGTAGGGTTTACATTTAAATCACATATTTTTCTTATATTTTTCTCCATATTCTTAAATCTGTAACTTAAAAGAATTTATAAAATGAAACTTTTAACAAATAGTCTACCCTTTGAAGTCATACAAAAACGGCAGAAACAATACAGTTGAATATAAAATTGATGACATTTTAAACTTACAAAATATCATCATTTACCAATATATTGATTGATACTAACCATAATTTGGAATTGAAGAGGTCGGTGAAGGAAGAGGAGGCAACCATAGCTAGAACTTCAACCAACAACTCCACCGGCAGAGATTCAATCCCACCTCCTCCGACGCCGACGACGATCTTTTCTTGTTTTTCTTCTTCAATTGATGATGATGATGATGGAATTACAAACATGGTTTCTTTCTTTCTTTCCAAACAATTAAAATTCAAACTCGTATAAAGTAATCAAATTTAGAAGGTGGGGATTGAAGGATTGATGGTTGGTTGATAAAAAACAGAGGTGAATGTAAAACCTCGAATCTCAACCGCTCAAAAGTAGCAGAGACAACGCTTTACCACCTCTCTCTATATATATATGTAAAATAGAGGTTGAGTGAGAAAAGCTTTCAAAAACGAGTAGGAAAGGGAAACCGAGAATTTTACAACTTGCTAATCAACCAATTAATTAATAGGAGATTATTACGGTTCTGTTTTAATAATTTAAATTTTTTTATTTTACCAGATACTTTATATATTTCATTTATAATAATAAAAAATAAGTCAATTTGATAGTTGTAACTTATTTATTTTATTATTTTTTTAAAAGTATAATTTTTTTTTGATTAAGAGCACAATAAATTGAATAAGTTATAGTTATCGGATCGATTTAATTTTTTATGTATTCAACAAAATGAACAATTCAAATCATCGAAACGGTACTCATGATGGGCCTTAAGGGTCCAACCAGTGCTGTCTATTCTAAAATTTGGACCGCAAGAGATCCTCTTCCTAATTAATACTACTTGCTATTTTCATACTCTTGTAAAAAAAAATAAAAATATTTATAAAAAAAAGAGTAAATTATAAATACTTGAGATTTAATTAAAATATATATTGTTCATATGATTTAAAAAAAATACAAATATTTCATTGTTAGAATTTTTTTATTTAATAGAATTAACTCAAACCAAAATTCTTAACTCTATCCTATACAATAATAAAATTATCTGAATTACTAATTGAAATAAATTTTTGAGATCATTAAAAATTATTAATTGAATTGATAATTTATTAATCAAAGAGTTATTTATTATAAAATTAGAAACTCTAAGAAGAGTATGTAATTTCTAGTACTATAAGAGGCAATTAGTATTTAAATAAATCTCAAATTTTATATTTATAATTAGTATTAGGGATTTGGGTGGGCCACTTTTTGGCATTTTTTATGAATCTTAAATAATTTATCAAATTTTTTAATAAACCTCTTACATGACTGTGTGACTCACACAAATTCATATATATATGTATATATATATAAATCTCACACCCATATAAAAGATTTAATAAATTATTTAAAATCCCTAACCTAACTCAATTTCATGTTATGAAACGGAAAAGGAACCAAAATAGGAATTAACTCAAATTCATGCTATGAAACGGAAAAGGAAACAAAACAGGAATTAACTCAAATTCATATTAACTCAAGTTCTTACAACCGACATGGTTTGACCAGTAATTATTTACAAAGGAACTTTTTCCTTGGAAGCTGATTTTGTCGATTTGAAAATGAATTTAGAAAGTTATAAAAAAAAAAAATAGTGAGGAAAATTTAAATAAAAAAAAAATATATATATATATTTACTTCCTTCTCTTTTTTAAATTTTTATTTAAATTCATAACTTAAACAAAGTATTTAATTCATGGGTTTTGGGCTCACTTGTGTTCTATATTGTTTATTTTTAGTGTTTACAGGTAAATTATGAGTGAAAAAATAAATTGATCTGATATATAAGGTTGGTTTGGGGTGTTTCTTCAATTGATGATGATGATGATGGAATTACAAACATGGTTTCTTTCTTTCTTTCCAAACAATTAAAATTCAAACTCGTATAAAGTAATCAAATTTAGAAGGTGGGGATTGAAGGATTGATGGTTGGTTGATAAAAAACAGAGGTGAATGTAAAACCTCGAATCTCAACCGCTCAAAAGTAGCAGAGACAACGCTTTACCACCTCTCTCTATATATATATGTAAAATAGAGGTTGAGTGAGAAAAGCTTTCAAAAACGAGTAGGAAAGGGAAACCGAGAATTTTACAACTTGCTAATCAACCAATTAATTAATAGGAGATTATTACGGTTCTGTTTTAATAATTTAAATTTTTTTATTTTACCAGATACTTTATATATTTCATTTATAATAAAAAAAAATTAAGTCAATTTGATAGTTGTAACTTATTTAATTTATTATTTTTTTAAAAGTATAATTTTTTTTTAATTAAGAGCACAATAAATTGAATAAGTTATAGTTATCGGATCGATTTAATTTTTTATGTATTCAACAAAATGAACAATTCAAATCATCGAAACGGTACTCACGATGGGCCTTACGGGTCCAACCAGTTTTTGGCCTTTTTTGTATAATGAGTAGAATAATCATATATCTAAGGAGGGATAATTAAAAGGCATGATATAGGTATAGATAGAATTTTTTTTTTTTAAAGTTGTGTTTGGATTAAAGCCCCTTTGGAATTTAATTTTTTTTATTAGAGTAGTTAAAAAGTCTCAGAAAAAAAATTAAACATCTCAATAATTTATGATCTTCAATACAACTAAAAAACGTCAATATCAAACACAATAACTGTTTTTCATCTCATAAAAAAATTAAGAAGCTTAAAAAAAACGACTAAAAAAATTAATTTCAAAATGAGGCTTAAAGATTTGAGTAAAAGCTTGTGAAAATGAGAAAAAAACGGAAGGAGAAGAAATATTCTAATTCCACACCCACCCCCCAACTTCTCAAATCCTTAATCAAAACACAATTTAAAGAAAAGGCAAAATAAAATAAGAGGAACTTATGTGTATATCTTACTAAGTAAAGTTATTGTCCAATAGGTTAATTAATGGTATTTTTATCATACACTATTAAAAAATATCATTAATTATTAATTTTCAGTGACAGTTTGAAAATTTTATAACAAAAAATGTTACTAATTGTAAGTTTTAGCAATAATTTAAAACAATCGTCACAAAAAAATCACTAATTTTCAACTTTTAACGGCAGTTTAAAAAAATTGTCACAAAAAGTTGCAAATTATAAGTTTTAATGACAATTTATAAAAATCATGACAAAAAAGAGTTAGTAATTGTTAATTTTTAGCGAGATATATAAAAAAAGTCACAAAAATTATTTTTAACGATAATTATGTCAAGACTTATTTGCAATAAAATTTGATAAAAATCTAGTCAAACTATTAAGATTTATTAATAATTTACCCATAAAATAATGAATTGAAAACCAAGATTAATGGTATGAAGTTAGTACACGTCACTTTCAAAGAGTTTGCTTTGCGTTTAACCAACAATAATATAATTAAGTTTAAATGTAAATACAATTTTTACAAAAGTGAAATAAAAGATAGTCTCATAGTGAATTCTACATGTGAAATTTATCATTTATTTTAGGGCAAATTACATTTATCTCCTTTGAGGTTTCTGACAAATACAAGAACCTCCCATGTGATTTGAATAATTACGGTAACCTCTCCTGATTTACTTGACAATATCAAGATTCCCCCCTACTGTCAAAAATCACTAAACGGTGTTACTTTTTCCTTAGGAAATTACCTTATTGTCCTTCCCTTGAAAATATTAAAAAATGTTTTTTAATTGGAGGATAAGTTTGTAGTGTTTGGAACAATATTTTTGGATTTATTTTTTTAAAATATTAAAAAATGTTTTAAAAACAAATTATTTTTTATTTTAAATATATAATTTTTATTTAAATATTTTACTTTATTTTGTAAATATTTTAATTTTTTAATTTTAATATTTTAAACTCAAAACACAATTTCATACTCAAATCGTAACCAAACACATAACTCAAAACTCAATTCAAAAATTATTTTCAAACCTCATAACCAAACACATAACTCGACACTCCACGCTACTTTCAAAACTCTACATTCAAATCGTAACCAAACGCATAACAAAAAAATAAAATACTTAAAAATATATTTATAAAATAAAATAAAATATTTAAAATAAAAACTATATATTTAAAATAAAAATAAAAATTTTAAAATTTTTTAATATTTAAAAAATATATTTAAAATATTAAAAAAAATACAACACATAGATGTATGAAATATAATGCACATTAAAATAAATAAATAAATATTTAAAATATAAAACATTTACCCTAAAAAAATAAATTCAAGAAATTATTTCTAATTGAATTGTGATTCTATGAGTTTTGAAAAGATTTTTGAAAATTTCTAATTAGAATTGTGTATTTGGTTAACACTATGAGTTTTGAATTTTTTTTTGAAAATTTGTAATTGGAATTGTGATTCTAAAAGAGAACCAAACATGTTTCTAAAAAAAAAAAAAATTCGGAACATGTTTTTATTACTCAAAACTCAATTCAAAAATTATTTTCAAACCTCATAACCAAACACATAACTCAACACTCCACACTACTTTCAAAACTCTACATTCAAATCGTAACCAAACGCATAACAAAAAAATAAAATACTTAAAAATATATTTATAAAATAAAATAAAATATTTAAAATAAAAACTATATATTTAAAATAAAAATAAAAATTTTAAAAAATGTTATACAACATTTTTTTAATATTTAAAAAAATAAAATCCAAAAATACTGTTCCAAACACTCTAAACCTATCCCTCCAATCAAAAAACATTTTTTAAATATTTTTAAAGAAAAGGACCAATAAAGTAATTCTGAAGGAAAAAGTAACACCGTTTGTGATTTTTGACAGCAGGGAGAATCGTATATTGTCAGTAAATAGGGGATTACTATAATTATTCAAACCACAGGAAGTCCCTGTATTGTCTGAAACCTCCAAGGAGGTTAAATGAATTTACCCTTTATTTTACATTTACGTATATTTTGTAAAATTCATTATATTCATAGCATAAATGTATAACTTTAGGTATTACTTGGCATCCCCTAAATAATCCATATTTTATCTTTTTTTCATCACATTATTTCTCTATTTTTTCACGTCTTTTTATAAAAAAAAAAGATTATACTTTTAGATCATCTCAAACAATCTCAAAATAATTCCAAGAGAGGAAGCAAATTTTAACACCAAATATTACTTAGGTGGACCCAATATAATTTTTTAATTCTTCCTTGACTTTCCTTTTTTTTTTATTTTTATTTAACTTTGCTTTAAAATACATATAATTTGATGAATTCTCTTACACAATTATATGATATAATTTATATATATAATATGGTTTGGGAGAATTGCATATCAGTGATTTCTACAAAAAATATTATAATTATCTAAATATTAATAATGAAAATTAGTAATTTTTTACTAATATAATAGTTTT